TTTGGATGGTATGAGGACAGGACGCATTAAAGACTTTTAGACAAAGAGATGTAGCATGCCTCCAGACTGGATAAGCCATGAACAATCTGGGCTGACCCTGCTTGGAGGTGGAGGTTGGACTGGAGACCTCCTGAGGTACCTTCCAGCATGAATTGCCCTGTGTAGGTTAATAGTGTTGCGATTGTGCAGCTTGTGGGGTGGCCAGCAGGAACTCTGCTTGCAGGGTGGACCTAAGCAGCAGTCCCTTGGGGTGCAATAGTTGCTGAATTGGCCAGAAAAGACTGACAAAAAATTAGCACTGCTGTTCACAAGAACAGCAGCTGGGCGTGCAGGCTGTTTCTGTTGCCTGCTGTAGGGCTTGCATGTGGCTGAGCTCCTCTGGCACTACCCGATGGCAGCAGCTCTGCGTCCTTGTGAGCAGCAGAGGTGTGTGCAGATGCTGTTCCTCACTCTGAGGCCCGTCTGTGCTGAGGAAGTGTGGCCAGCTTGGACGAGCTTGCTGTGAGGATTGCCCTGCTCACAAAGGTGTGGCGTGAAACCAGAGTGGGTTTTCTGCCTGTGGATATTGGTGTGGCTTGCTCTTTCACCTCGCTTTTCCATTTAAAAGGAGTTTGGGTGATGGGTTTATTTTTATTCCTGATCCCACACCCTCGGTGTGTTCTCAGCAGCAGATGGCGAAGGGCGGTACTTAGGGCATCTTACTGCCTTGGAGCTGAGGAAGAGGAGTCCCTCAGGTCTTTACTCCACTGTGTATGGGTGTCCTCTCCCCTCTCAGCCCCTTCAGAAAATCTTACTCATGCTACTGACTTGCGTGTTGGGCAGTGTGAAGATGGTGTGAGCTTACAGCATGGGGAAGTGATGGTTTGGGTGCTGACGGCCTGCTGCAAGCAGGGAGCTGGGTGCTAAGTTGACGATAAAGCCTCTCTGGTTTCACGCAAGAACCTGCCAGGCCAGCAGCAGAGGGGCAGGCTGGCGTCCAGCTTGGGCAGTGCGTTCATGAAGTGTGTAAATGTCCAGAAATGGTGAGGGATTTTTTCCAGTGGGTTTATTTATTTATTGGAAAATACTGACCTGTCCAAATCCAGACATCCCAGGACTGGCATTGCCGCAGGAGAGGGTTAGGGTTGGGGTTTCTGGAAGGGTGGGAAAGCAAATGAAACTTTGCAGTAAGTGATGTCTGCTCTCTTCAGGTGTGCATGAAATGCACTGGTAGTTTTGGTGAGAACTGGAAACAAGGGATTTGATGTTCTCCCGTGTCCTGGGTGAATGCCCTGGTTACTGGATAGCTGTCCTGATGCAGACACTCTTATCTTTGCAAAAAGTACCTGCAGACATTGATTTATTTTTATTCTTTTTAGATCTTGGGGAATCTCAAGCCTTTGTGACATGGGGAAAACCGTTTCTTGTTTGGCCCTAGTAGGATGTGCACTGCTTGTGCTGATGGAGACAGTGTGAAGTAGAGGCTTCTTTGTTTGATACAGGTGTAGAAATGGGGCACCAGAAGCCTTTCCTTGTTGTGAACATTTGTAACCTCCCTCGAAGTAGTAGGATGCTGTCCTGCTTCTCTCTCCCTTCTCCCTCAGGGGCTGTGGGTAAGCTCTGGGCAGGCCTTGGCATCAAACCCTGCGAAACCAAATCTGCTCTGGCCACCAGCACCCTGTCCCAAGGAACTCTGGCAGGACTGAAGCATCCAGGCCTTGGAAGGAGCGCAGTGACTGTCCAACTGTCCCTGCAGGCAGAGGTTCCTCCTTCAGCCTTGTTCGCAGAGAGCCAGTAACTTGTAGGCTGTGCTGTCTTCTGCCCTCCAGCACTGTGTGTGGCTGGTTTGGAGACCTGTTTGCCTTCCAGCACTTTGTTGCTCAGAGTCCTCGGTTTATTCCTGCAGTGTGCTGGCACCATGGTCCCCCTTGCTGATGTGTGGAGACGCGCTGACCAGTCTCCAGGGGACTTGCTGATGCTTTTATGCAGAGCAAATGGGAGTGGTTTGATGAAACTTGTCAAACCTATCAATCCTCTTGCTAATTTCTCCACATTCCTTCTGCTGGCGTGTCAACGCAGAATATCATTAGCAATCTCAAATGCTGTGGGGAGGACACAAGGTCAGCTAGCGTTAGAGCACCACAACATTAAAACAGGTATCAGCCGCAAGGATGCAGGTAGCAATTTCCCCGATGAGTGTGGCCAGGATCAAGTCCCTGCAAACGCTGTGGTGAGGTCCTCTCTCGCAGCCCTTCTCTGACTCGGTGGTTCTCTGGCACAGCATCCTTGTCCAGGTTGCCCCAGATCTCTGCATCTCAAATAACAGCAGTCCGAGCAGTCTGAGCTGCTCCCTCCGCTTCCCCAAACCTGTGTGCACCAGGTGCTGCAGCAGAGACAGGTAGCTCCTGCTTTTGCCTCTTCTTTTGCTCCGGGGGAGGTGGCACAAGGGCCTTGTCCCTGTTCTGGACACACTGCTGGCTTTGAGGACCGTCAGCCTGTCCCAAGGCGAGGGCATACCCATGCCTACAGTTGTCTGGGCCGGGTTTCAGCTTGCTGTTGCTGGCACAAGCCCATCGCCTAACAACACGATGGCCAGCAATGATGCGGGAGGGAGCCTCCAGAGGTCGGCCTTGGACCGTGGCATCCCGTCCAGCGGTGGGTGGGCGGCTGGGCCCGGGGAGGATTGCTCCTTGCTGCTTTTCCTCTGGTCTTTGTGTCATTTCACTAGCGCTGCTAGCAGCAATGGCAGCCTCAAGAAATATGTATGTCCAGACACAACTGGCTGTGAAGCTGCTGCTCCCTCCAAACCCTGTGAGATTTGAGGTTTGCATCTGCAAAGAGAGCTTTTGCGGTTTGTCTTTAGACAGCAGGTAACTTCCCAGTTATCCTGATTCAGCAGATAGTAGGCATTTGAAGAACTTCTGTTTCCTAAGAGGGCTGTTACTCTTTTTTGCAACTTCAAAAATCCACCTTCTTAGGCTTAAGATGGCTGGAAAATATTGGCCAAGTAGAACTGTGGAGTGTTTTGTTTAGATTTCTAAAATTTTCTGATATGTTATCTGTCTGAGCTTCCATGAAGTAGGGGAAAGCCCCTGAAGACTGGGAGCTCTTGCTGAGTAGCCACTGCGAGCTCAGCAGGACTGTCCCTCCTGCCTGATGGAGCTGGGGGTCACCTCTTGGTCTGTGTGAGCTCATTGGGAAGGACCCCTCAGAGCTGGTGGGGGAAGAGAAGCGCTCCTGTGGCTGTGAGGAAAACATGTCCTCCATCAAGGAGGTGGTCCCTTGTGTGTTTCTGGCTGTGCTGAGGTAGAAGAGTTGGTTCTTTTCATTGTCCCTGTAATCTGGGGAAGGAAAGCCTTCACAGGCTGAGGAAGAGGACCTGGTTGCAGATAGAAACACTGCTGACTAATTGATTTAAAGCATGTTTAGCTGTTCTCTGTTACTGTCCTCTCCAGAGAAGCCTAAACCTGAACCTTCTCCCCTCTGTGGAGCCATAAGCTACCCTTGGTGAAAGCTGTCTTATGTGGCATGGAGGCAGGCTTTGTTGTGCACTGCTGTCACCTGCTTAGGCAGGGTTATTTCCTGGTGTTAAGTCTGCATTTTGTGTCCATGTGGCTTCCAGGATTTAATTTGCCATATGCCAATTGCTTCAAATCCAGAGAAACATGAGGCTTCTGCTGGGCTGGTGATTGAAAAAGAAAAAACCAAAACAACAACAACAACAAAAAAACCCAACGAAAAACACCACAACCAAAAACCCAATGCAGCAACTCACCCAGACTTCGTGCGGTTGGTTTCTGCTGGATAGACCTATAAATCCATGGGAGTTGTATTTGATGCAAAGGAAAAATAGGGTTATCCTGTAAGGATCCTCTCTCTGAGCTGAATGTGTACTGGAAGTATCTGTGCAGGCTTGAAGCAGAGTTAAGAACAACCTGGCAGGGTGAGCTGCGCTCTCATGCTTAGCAGCAGCAGCAGCTGGATGATCCAGGCTGAGGTTTCTTGGAATCTGCTTAGTGTAGAGACAGGCCGGTGGGGTGGGCTGCTCACAGGGCTTCTCTCTTTCTGCCAGCAGTAGATGTATGCAACATCACCCAGGTGGGTCCCTCTGAAGAAAGGAACTTTGAAGATGAATTGCTAAAGCTGTAAATCATCTTGTAGCTCATGACTGGAACCATCCCATTAGAAGCTTAATGTATCTTGTGTATTAGCAACAGTGATAGGTGCTAAAGAAATTACTTCGTGGAGCCAGGAGGAGCATTGCAATTTGCTGATCTAGCATTGAGGAAGAGCACAGGGCTTAATTAGCAAAAGTGCCTTTTAAAAGGAGATAAATTTGATGGGAAGTGAGCTGCTTCATTAGAAAAAAAATCCTCAGACCCTGGGATTCATCCATGTTGCTTGTGGAGAAAAATGAATTTGTGTTGGCTCCTGGTTCCGGCCCTGGTCTCCCTGAGCTCTGTGGGGAGCTGGCTGCATCCAAGTAGCCAAATCCCTGTGCCCCTCAGCAGAGCAGATGATGGCTCTGTGCTTGCGCATGCTGCAGTTATGGAGAATTTTAACTGAGTTTTTCCACAGAGGCAGTCAGCCAGTAGAGACCAAGACCCCTTGGTGACCAGTGGCTGGCTGGTGGCTCCCTTTGCTTGCCCCCATATCGCTCCTACTTGTTTTTACCCCTTAGCCCACTCTATTTTGATCTTGCTCTGACACTTTTATGCTTGTTTATTTGGGCCTCTAACATGAGGCTTGAGTCACTTGTGTTCACTGTAGCGTACTTGGATAGATTGAAGTCTTGCACTCGGTGTCCATGCAGCATGCTGGGCCATAAACTCTTGCTTGGAGTCCTGGCACTCTGGGGCACTGATCAAAACCTTGAAAACAGCAACGTGCAGGACAATAGGACACAACTGAATGTAGATGGGTCCTCCTGGGATCTTTTTCCCCCCTCTCAGTGGAGCTGTGGGTGCCTTTCACTTCCTTCTCAAGTAATGTCTGTGCTCTCTGCCCCGCTTTTCTTCCAGGTGCGCAATGGCCACATCAAGCGAATCACCGACAATGACATTCAGTCACTGGTGCTGGAGATTGAAGGAACTAATGTCAGGTAGGAGAAGGCATTTTCTTCTGTCCTAGTGTGCCCTGAGGGCTTGGCCCTGGAGCAGAGTGAAAGATGTCGGTGCCCAGCAGACTCTACTGCGACCTCTTTGTCAATAAATTGAAGAATGTGGTCTGTCATCAGATCACTGATACCCTCTGTGGCACTGTACTGTGCCTTCCCTGGACGTGCTTGTAGAGCTCTCTGTCATCCTTAGTGGGGCTAAGGGATAAAAAATGAAAATAAAGTCCCATTATTTTTCTATCACTTGCGGGGGAAAAAGCTGTATTTGATACCTGGTCCCCGGTCATGCTGCCAATTACTGAGAAAGCAGCACTGTCTTCTGCATCTTCTATTGTCTTAGGCCTGTTCTGCTGCTCTCCCCACGTGATGGCTGCTCCCCTGACAGCAGGAAGATCAAAGGGAGATTTATGAGGGGAGTTGCTTATGGTGCTTCACTTAGCAACCTCGTCTCCATTGACCGGGGAAAGAGACGCCAGCTCCATGAGCAGGTTCAGTCTCCAAGGCTTCTCCAGGAGTGATTCAGAGCAGGGCGCTCCTTATAAGGGCAGCGGAGACTCCTCTCCTGCAGACAGCCTGAGCCAACGCTTCTCTTCCTCCCAAGATGTGTTGATACAGAACTTGCCAGGCGTGACGTGTACTTCTAGGGCTCATGACCTCTGTTTTACCAGCCATATAGAGCGCACGGGGCCTCTGCTGTGCTCTGAAGGGTTCTACCTGTTCAGTCAAGGGTAGGAGGAGGTTGTGTGAAGAAACAGTGCTGATATGGCCTTGAAACTGAGGAGGTGAAGCTGTCTAGGAAGTGAGCCCTGAGTGAGAAAAGTGGGATTTGAAATGCGTTCTGTGGGCCTTTTATCTTGTTCTCCCTGCAGCTGCCTCTGAAACTCTCCCTCCTGTTACAGGAAGCCCTGATTGTTGCTGAGTTCTTATGATCACCTCTATCTTTTTCTGCCTGTCCTTCAAGACTACGTTAGGTCAAGGGAGAGACGTGAGACTCGGGCTGTGCACTTTGTGCTATGCGAGATCCTAAAGCATTTTTCTGTCCCTCAGTACCACGTACATCACATGCCCTGCTGACCCAAAGAAGACCCTGGGCATCAAACTACCTTTCCTAGTGATGATCATCAAGAACCTGAAGAAATACTTCACTTTCGAAGTGCAGGTGAGGAGCGTGCAGTGGGGATACCCCTCCAGGGATTAGTGAGGAAGATGCCAGGGAGCCTGCAGTCTTATGTTGGAACTTGTCCCAGGCAGCGAGTGGTCCCCAAAACAGTTTTGCTTTCTTGGCCATGTGATGTGTCAGGTCTTCTGCTGTGAGAGCATCAGTCAGCTCACAAGCGTATCATTGCTATTCCTGAAAATGGGTCTGTTTCCTGTGTTAAAAATACTTCTGCTGTGAAATGGAGGGATGCGAGTAGGAGAGCCCTCTGTCAGAGATGGGTAGAGTCCATGTCTCAAACAGCTGCTGTCTTGGGGAGCGGGGGCCCCCCCCAACGCTTGGGTCAGCGGCCTGCCTTCCTTGCCCCAGGTGCTGGATGATAAGAACGTACGCCGGCGTTTCCGGGCAAGTAACTATCAGAGCACGACTCGGGTGAAGCCCTTCATCTGCACCATGCCCATGCGGCTGGATGATGGCTGGAACCAAATCCAGTTCAACTTGTCAGACTTCACGCGCCGGGCTTACGGGACAAATTACATCGAGACCCTGAGAGTTCAGGTGAGAAGCAGGCATGTTCTGCGCACAGAAACCGATGGCTGGCAATCTTCCTGCTGGCTGGGACAGCCTTGTTGTAGATTGGGAATCTGTGTTTAGCCCTGACTGGTTCCTTTGCCAGTCCTGCTCTTTGCAGAGGACTGCAGGAGGAGAGCAAAGGCTCGACTGAGGCAGCAGAGGTCTTGGTGCTGCCTCGCTTCACTGGACTAGACTAGGATGAAGGAGCCTATTTCCATCTTGTTTCTCTTGCTGGCTGTTGGTTCGGGTAAGAGTCACAGTCCACCTAAAGTTCCCTGTGACGTGCCACATGTCCTGCTGGGTGGAGGACTGCTGAGAACAGCCATGTGCTACCTTACTGTCCAGTCCCAGACCCCCCAGCCAGTGGCTGGCTGAGTGGGAACTGGCTGGTAAGGACCCAGGGTCTTGTGGTCCATACATATCCCTGGTCAAGCTTCTTTCCTAGTGCAGGTGGAGTGACCCTGTC